CACGAATAAGCGGCAATATGCAGCGATGCGGGTGAGTTTCGTTAGTGACGGGTGAACACGGAGGTTCGGAGGATCGATCAACGGCTGCAAACGTACGAAGCTTCACCTCGAGGACTTTGAGGGGAAATTCGCGGGTGTCTCGGACTGGAAACATACTTAGCCACTCCACTGAATCGGACATTAACCCCGGTGGACCCTTCCACCATAGTGCGATGTTAACGAGCTCGCAGGAATCGATGGCCCTCGAGATGAGATCGGCAGGGTTCTCCAGGCCGCCGATGTGATTCCAGATGCTTCCATCCGTAAGCCGCTGCACCTCCGCGACACGGTTTGTCACGAAAGTGTTGGATGGTGGGTTGTGCAGCCAGTGGAGAGTGATTGAAGAATCATACCAAAAATAAGCATTAGCATTAATGTTAAGGTTCAACATAACGGTTTGGTACTATTGGCTGAGCAGTACAGCTAGGCAGGGAACCGATACGATTTGGATAGGAGTTACTCGGGATTTGGCGGTTAGGAGACGGGTTGTGACGACACCACTTCTTCCGACACTTCTCAAGTATTTAGATGCATGCTCCGTAAGCACTCTGGGACGCATAGCAAAACCCATGAAGTTGCACGTTACCTCCGGCGCCTGGAGCTTTGACCAAACGAGGGATGGAAAATTACCCTAGAGCAGCCAGACCAAGTCTGTAGTCATCGCACACGGTGCTGAGCGAGCTGGAAAGCTCCTCGTCCCAACTCAGTTTCAACTTTTAAAGACAAACACTTTGGCTGTGATGATCGCAGGATGCCCAATGGATCAAGGAGTTTGGACGTCTTGGAGACCACGATTCGTTTCGTGGTTGGATTATCAGAGAAGCGCTCGGAAACTTTGAATCGGAAGGTATCCGATTCAGAGTGCCACAGCAGACCGAGTGTGCGACCACAAACGACCACTTTCGAAGTTCGAACTCGAGTGCTCTGCTCTCTAGAACACAGCTGGATTACTTCTTCCACAGTATCAGCACCGCTTAGCATCACCATATGTACCCACATCTGGCGATACATCTTGGTAACATCTGCAACTAGAGCCACCTCGTATATGCAGAATCTGATGACGATAGCGTATAATGAACAGTTGGCCCCATCATGAGGCAGTCATTGAGAGAGATTGCCGTAGAAGTCTTGTTGAACCCATCGAAAACCACGCAGGAAGATAGAATGAGCGGGTGTTGCCTTGTAACGGAGCTACGGGAACCATATGGCCAAGTTCGATGTGTTCTGCCATGAAATCAACATACTGGACTATTCGTCGCGGGTGGTGGTTTCGGAAAAGTACATCTTGCAAGCTAATTCCTCTTTGGATAGCCCACGGCTTTGAGGGCGACTGTCGACTTCCCAGAATCGAGTCAGTCGTTGGTATAAGTCATTGGTGGTACACAACAGAGCGACTCGCGCCGAGCCTTGGGTAGTGGTATCGATGACGATAAGTCCACTAACTACCCATCTGAGCACGGTACATTGGAGAACAGGCTGGTGTTCATAAGGACCGGCCTAAACTGGTACCTGTAGAAAGCTGAAAAAAAGCTGAGCATCGATAACCATGTCGATCCTTGGTGAAGCGAAATCTGGATCAGCTAAGACCAACTTAGGAGGAAGGTTACATTGCGAAATGTCGATCGCCCGGGAAAGCAGATCGTTGGTGATATTGGAGATCTTCGGCGAGACCGGATGGAATTCGATTTTGAAATTTTTTAAGGGAAACGTTGTTTGCAGGCAAACCTATTGAAAATTGTTCAAGAGTTTTTTTAGCAGATTCGATTGGTTTGTTTAGAATTCAAATCCATCAGCTATGGACAGAGTTATAAGTGGTCAAAACCTGACCACTTTTCGTAACGCGGTCGATGTTGTTTTTTTTTTAAATTGCACCTCCAATATGTTTGCCAGAAATTAGCAAAATTCTACATGACATAATCTTGTCTGTTTCTTTCGCTGACAGAAAACAGTTCACGAAATTTTTGCACATGCCAGTGCACAGTGGTCCAGAATGCAGATTTAGGTGGAATGATATGTTTTGAGCCTGAAATTGAAACTTTAGACTAAAAGTCTCTTGTACAAAGTTGTTCCTTATAGTTAGGCCCTCATTTTTATGACAATGAATTCTAGGGTGGTTCCTATTATCATTAAAATCAAAAATCTAACTTTTTTGTTTGAATAAATTAAGGTATACATTCTTTGACGAAGTTATAGCTGAACTAATTTTAAGCAACTTTGTTGAAAATAACTTTTTTGTATCTCTTAAATTGGCCGATTTAGAGCTATTTTCTTGAATTGAGTTAGGGTGGCTCTTAAAAAAACAGTTTTTTTGCTCTAGTTTTCTTATTTCGAATTTCTCAGCAAAAGTGTTTTCAGATAACTTTTAGATCTTAAGAAGGCGCAATTTTTTGCTTCACAAAGCTTGTCAATATCTTTCGCCGATCAAGAGTTATTGACGTTTGTATACTAAAAATATGCACTTTTCAAATGTTAATATCTCTAGTTGGGGCAAACAAAAAAAAAGTTTTTTTGCAGCATTTGAAAGGGCGTATGTTATTCTCAATAATATGAAAAAATTGGAGGTATGTTATTTTTTTAACTTGTATAAAATCAATTTGAGTTTATTCATATTTTTTACTATATTTGAGTATATCTTTTTTATTAGAAGAGATACAGGCAACAAATCCAGCTATAAAACATTCATCTTAAAGAATTTAAAAAGTCTCTAGAAGATGACTTTCATGATAAATTTCAAATAAAAAAGTTATTGGCAAAAGATGGATTTCATAGGACCACTCTAATGACACATTTATATAAAATGTGCTAGTACATTTGTTTCAATATTTGGACATTTAGTGTCTTCGAAGAAGTTTTTGTTCTTAAAAATTCCCTTCTTTTGGTGTTTGCAAACGTCAGGGTGGTCCTCAAATTAGGGAATTTTTAAAACTAACTTTTTTGTTTTACAAAATATAAACATGTGTTGTTCAAAAAAGTTGTAGTTAAGTTACTTGCAAGCAACTTTGTCGAAGAAAATTTTTTTCTATCTCTTAACGTTCTCATTTTAGAGTAATTTTTCGGAGTTGACTTAGGGTGTTCCTGGAAAAAATAGTTTTTTAGCAATAACTTTTTTATTTGAAAATTCTCATGAAAGTTATCTTCTAGAGACTTTTAAAACTCTTTAAGATGAATGTTTTATAGCTGAATTTGTTGCCTGTATCTCTTCTAATAAAAAAAGATATACTCAAATATAGTAAAAAATATGAATAAATTCAAATTGATTTTATACGAGTTAAAAAAATAACGTACCTCCAATTTTTTCATATTATTGAGAATAACATACGCCCTTTCAAATGCTGCAAAAAAACTTTTTTTTTGTTTGCCCCAACTAGAGATATTAACATTTGAAAAGTGCATATTTTTAGTATACAAACGTCAATAACTCTTGATCGGCGAAAGATATTGACAAGCTTTGTGCAAAAAAAATTTGCGCCTTCTCAAGATCTAAAAGTTATCTGAAAACACTTTTGCTGAGAAATTCGAAATAAGAAAAATAGAGCAAAAAAACTGTTTTTTTAAGAGCCACCCTAACTCAATTCAAGAAAATAGCTCTAAATCGGCCAATTTAAGAGATACAAAAAAGTTATTTCCAACAAAGTTGCTTGAAATTAACTCAGCTATAACTTTGTCCAAGAATGTATACCTTAATTTATTCAAACAAAAAAGTTAGATTTTTGATTTTAATGATAATAGGAACCACCCTAGAATTCATTGTCATAAAAATAAGGGCCTAACTATAAGGAACAACTTTGTAGAAGAGACTTTTAGTCTAAAGTTTCAATTTCAGGCTCAAAACATATCATTCCACCTAAATCTGCATTCTGTACCACTGTGCAGTGTGTTTGTATGTCTGGATGGTCATTGCGAAAAGTATCAAATGTTAAGGACAAAAATTTTAAAACCCAGCACTCGTGCCACTACTGTTTCTTATCGTCCCAGAACTACCTATATAAAAATTAAAAAAAAGATACCATAAGGTACTACCAATCCAGAAGCGACACGTTCCAGTCCCAGTCTGGTCTAGAAAATCATTCGGTTTGGAAATTGTCTCGACTTCCCCGGGCATAGAGTATCATTGTGCCTGCCACCGTGTGCATAGTGCTGAAAATTATGTGCCAAGTTGTCCTGAATCAGATACCTACAGGAGAAGATGGACGTGACTCTCCGGTGGCAGCAGGCAGGGATTAAACGCCAGAAGATCTTGCTCACTTAACATAACGGCGCGCTGATTTGTAGAGTAAGCTTGACGGCATTCGAACGCTCCCCTGCTATAGATATCTTCATCAATGTCAACAACCATACGATAGCATCTTTACCTGGACAAGCAGAGAAATAAGTGGAAAGTTTCCAATATCTTGGCGATTGACGGAACCAAGATCGCCATAGGTATACACATCAAGAAGGCTAGGATTGCCCATGAGAGTTTGCGAAACATATAGAGATCAATTAAGATTAGCCAACGAATAAAAAACCCAATTTTTAATTCAATCACAATAACTGAACTGTAACACCCTAGCGAAACATTATGCATATCAGCGGAGAGCAGTCGAAAGCTTCAACTGCGGCCTGCGGTATATAATTCGCGCTTGGTGGCCTCACAACTAGATATCGAATGCCGAGCTATTTATCGATAGTTAAAGTTCATTAACTTTTTTTTGGTAAGTAGAAAAGCGTACGATATTATTGCTCATGGTAAGTATTGTACCTATTCCATTTAGTGATCTATCCTCATTCAGTCATGTACATTTACACTACCGAAGCATATCCATTCAGGATGATCAAATGTTACATTAGGTAATCTGATAAAGAAACCATTGGTACATTGCATGAATTGGTTTCCATGTTTATGTGTTGGTAATAGGAAAGCTTTTTAAAACTACGAGTTCCTACAAAAATTACCACTGTATTTTTAGTAGACTATCACGATGAACGCCTCATTACTAGTCGCAGTAGCATTTATTGCAACTTTCTTCCGAGTCAAAAGTCAGCCAGAGATCACTGTTCTGGATTCATACCCCATCGCGACACTGGTTCGACATCTTCGAGAGCAGTTTGTCCGTAGTCTTGGCCCCAGCAGCGAAGACATTTACAAACTTAAACTGAATCTTAAACTTGGTGTAAGCGTTATATGGATTGATCTAACGCATCATTCACCTTAACTGCAGCTATTTCTTTTCCAGAAACTACAAAAGCAATTCCCTCCATATGAAACGTTTCCATGCAATGAAACAATCATGCGGAGCGCTACAGTTCCTGAATCGGTTCACACCTTGCGACCAGGAGACATTGACATTGTTGGAGCACTGGGCGATTCCCTCACGGCAGCTAACGGTGCGATGGCCACCCAGATAACAGAAGTGTTCATCGAGAACAGGGGCCTTTCATGGAGCATTGGAGGTCAAGGCACGTGGAGACAGTTCCTAACCATACCAAATATTCTCAAGGAATTTAACCCGAAGCTGTACGGATACTCGATTGCAGATGGTTCAGCATTTCAAAGATTATCACGGTGAGACACAATATTTACAAGATACTTACTTTTTCTTTTGATGCTCACTCATGTCTGTGCTCTTTTATTTGTTAGATTTAATGTAGCGGAGACAGGAGCGATGACTCAGGACTTACCATTTCAAGCAAAAAACCTAGTCAAACGAATGCTAAGCGACTTGAAGGTTGACGTTAAAAATCATTGGAAGCTTATTACAATCTTGATTGGAGATAACGACTTCTGTTCGAACATGTGTTACTTGAAAAACCCAGAACAAATTTTGACTAACCATGAGCATAATCTCATCAGCACTTTGCGCATTCTAAGAGACTACCTTCCACGAACCATGGTCAACGTGGCTGCAACTCCTAGTAATATGATTTGTTAGATATAATATTGTTTTTCTAATTAATTACAATACCTCATTTCTTCCAGATGTTCGGCAACTTACGAAACTTTCAGGCCGTACGTACGAATGTGTGTCACTACACTTGTTAGAATGTCCTTGTATGTTCGGATCGCGCTTTCAGCACATGAAGACGAAGTTGAACAAAATTATGCTCACCTGGAACGAGTTACAGCGAAACGTAACCGAGCGAGAAGAGTTCAACAATCGGTCAGATTTTATCGTCAATTATCAGCCATTTGGCGAGGAAATTACCATACCTCGAATGAAAAGCGGTAGCAGTGATTTTTCCTATCTGTCCTTGGACTGCTTTCACTTCAGCCAGAAAGGATACGCCACGGCAGCGAATGCCCTTTGGAGCAATATGCTGGAACCGGAAGGTCAAAAGACGAACGAACCGCGGTATGAATTTGACATGATTCGCTGCCCCTCGCAGAAGCGACCATATTTGATGACCAGAGAAAACTCCAGAATGCACTAAATGGATTCAAAGAGATGCCTGTCAAAATGCCTGTACGGAAGCTACAATCTGTATTAGTCGGTATCAGGAATTTTGAATAGAAAGAGCAGGGAAGGGGGAGGAGTGGTATAGTTATCTCAGAGCTAAGACTAGGGTGCAAATGCTCATTTTGCAAAACAACATATTTTTTGTAATAATTTCATTACATTCACATTCAATCAGAGAGAAACGAAAAACTGAAATCAATTGCTGTCATTTTCGGGGTTGTTAAGAGAAATTTGGAATCAAATCAGCCCCAAATACACTTCAACTTTAATTCAAAGGTTTAAAGTTAACTTTGCAATAATGAATGTTCAACGAGGAATATCTTGATGGGTTTGGGAAGTTCTGTGAACCTCCATGAGCCTATCTTGAACTTTTTCAGAACTTTCACGAGGTTCCTACTCTTCCATGAGATTATTAAAATTATGATGTATGAAGTGTTATTATTTATGTTTTCCGAAGAATTTTTGATGTTCCTTGAATTTTGTTTTGTTTCTCTAGACATGTTTAAGGTACTAAATTTCTTTAAATATCCCGTAAATGTCTTAGATCATAATAACAATTTCCAACACATTTTTAAGATTGCCTATTTTTTTTATTTAAATTCTCTAAACTTCTTTCAAGAACCGCAAACTAATCTATGGTTGATTAGAACTTCTCTAAAATTACTCTAAGCTTCGATGAGGATCTTTTGAACGTACTCGAAGAATCGTGCTGAGGTTTCTAAACTTCTCTGAAGTTCTCTCAAACTGCCCTGCAGTAAAATTCGTTGAATTTCTTTGAAGTCCATTGATCCTATTTGAAGTTCATGAAGTTCACTAAAATTTGCCAGACTTCCCTAGAGTTTACTAAACGTTTCTGAAATTCATCGAAACATCTTTTTGGTGTTTCCTGAGTCTTTCTGATATTTTCTAAAGGGTGATACGGTCAAAATTTGGTCAATATCAACTTGACGTATTTCTTTCAATTTTGCATTTAAAAAACCTGAACACCCCTCATTTTGAAGGTGTGTGTGTGTAGAATGTTGCTCCTATTTTGATTTTGGAATTCACTCTTCAGTTGTCAAAATGCCGTCCAAGCAAGAAGAGCAGCGTATCAAAATTTTGCTCGCGCATCGCGAAAATCCGAGCTACTCGCACGCAAAGTTGGCAAAATCGCTAAAAGTTGCCAAATCAACCGTTACTAATGTAATTAAAGTGTTTGGGGAACGTTTGTCGACAGCCAGGAAGTCTGGATCGGGGGGAAATAGAAAACCGGAAGCCGCTGAGACGACAAAGAGAGTTGCCGGTAGTTTCAAGCGAAACCCTAACCTCTCTCTCCGAGATGCCGCAAATAAGCTGGGTGTATCGTCTACAACCGTGCATCGAGCCAAAAAACGAGCCGGACTATCGACTTACAAGAAGGTAGTGACTCCAAATCGCGATGATAAACAAAATACGACGGCCAAAGCGCGATCCCGGAGGCTGTACACGACGATGCTGACGAAGTTTGACGACGAAACCTACGTCAAAGCCGACTACAAGCAGCTTCCGGGACAGGAGTTTTATACGGCAAAAGGAAGGGGAAAGGTAGCAGATGTTTTCAAGCACATGAAACTGTCAAAGTTCGCAAAGAAATATCTGGTTTGGCAAGCCATCTGTACCTGTGGCTTGAAAAGCAGCATTTTCATAGCTTCCGGGACTGTCAACCAAGAAATTTACGTGAAAGAGTGTTTGAATAAACGTCTGCTGCCTTTCCTGAAGAAACACGGTTGTTCCGTACTGTTTTGGCCGGATTTGGCATCTTGCCATTACGGTAAAAAAGGCCATGGAGTGGTACGCCGCCAACAACGTGTAGGTGGTTCCCAAGGACAAGAACCCTCCCAACACGCCAGAGCTCCGCCCAATTGAGAAATACTGGGCTATTGTCAAGCGGAACCTAAAGAAGACCAAAAAACTGCTAAGGGCGAGCAGCAGTTCAAGGCAAACTGGCTTTCTGCGGCGAAGAAGGTGGACAAGGTGGCTGTACAAAATCTGATGGCAGGGGTCAAACGTAAGGCCCGGCAATTCGGATTTGGAAAAGCGGAAGCCTAACTGAATATTTTTCCTGAATTTTATACTAATTGAACTTGAAAAAGAAATTTAATTTGATTTTTTAAATAAACGATTTCACCGATTTACACGCGTTTTCCCTTGACCAAATTTTGACCGTATCACCCTTTAAACTTCGATGAAGTTCCTTGTGCTTCTACAAATTCCACTGCATTTCTCTGAAGAGTTCAGATCTTCTTTAAAATTCAGTAAATTTACCAAAAAAGTGCATTGTTGATTGCACCAATACGAAACTAACGATTTTAAATTGGCTCACCACTTTAGTAGCCTATTGGTCCCAAGCAAACGATTAACGTACCGTATTCTAGTCGAAATTCTAGTACTACGCAATGTTTGTTTTGATTCGCTATGAAAGTTTGACAGATAAAATGAGGGGTTATTGGTTTTTCCTATGTTTCGAGGGGTGAATCGATTAGCTTGGGACCGAAGAGAGTACCAGAGCTGTGCCAAAAAGTTGAGCACGTTTCTGCGGGACCTTCTAGTCTTAGAGTTACCTCTATGGTAGAACTATCACCGACAAACCGACATGAATGACTATAACAAAAACAATAAAATTTCTAATAAAAGCACACTACTGACATCTTGCTCCGTGTTCGCGGGAAATATTTAGCTAAGCCATAAACCCGCATGCAAAAGTTTTGATTTGGTTCGTGTCTGATCTATTCTGGACAAATTATTTTTATCTAGATAAAAAAAATCGTATGGTTTTGACAGTTCGGCTCACTGCACATTTAAATCGAGCGGACATAAGTCAGAATTAAGTGTCATGTCGGTTTGTCGGTGGAACAATCACCGACAAACAGACATGAATGACCATACAAATTACCACGAAATTTTTGCTCAAAGCACACTACCGACATCTGTCTCCGGGTTCGCGGAAAATGTTTATCTAAGAACACGAGTGCAAAATGTATGAGTTGGTTCGTGTCTGATCTATTCGGGACAAGTTAGTTTTATCTAGATGAAAAGTTTCTATGGTTCTGATCAGGCCAATGACAAGGCCTATACTAACAGCAGTGTTTGACAGTAGGCAGCATGTCCCGGGCTCAAATCGTTTATTTTGCTCTGCTGGGCCCGCTGTCACGGTATGACATGTTGCCTACGTGCCTGCCAGTGGGCTGGTTCTGATAGATCGGATCGCTGCACATTTGAATCGGCAGTCATAGATTTTCGAGCGAAAGTTAAGTTTAAGTTTCATGTCGGTTTGTCGGTGGAACTATTCCGTGTGCCACTCACGCCAAATACAAAATCTGAAATGCAAATTCGAGCGAAATCCGTGCAATCGAGTAGTGTAGAATATGTGTGTGAATGTGAACGACATTCACTACCTGGCATGCATTTCATGTGTCAAGTTAGTTGTCAAAAAATGCATCAATGTTAATCTTCCTGTTCATCTGGTTCATCTTAAAGTTTTTAATGCACCAATTTGACAGATAAGTGTTCGATAACTTTCAGTTAGCGGACTTCAGTAAAAATACATTTCAGTTAAAGGTTTTTGAGTTAGCGAGTTATCTGCTGTACAAAAAATATATGTTATTAAGCAAGTCAATTATTTCGAAACATTTTTTGGATGTTAATGGATAATTATAAATGTAGGCATAAATCTGCATGTTCTTACCAATGTCTGTATAAAGTCTGTAATTTGTATGAAGTGAAGCTTGTATGCACGATCAAATGTTAGTATGAATACAGACATGTCTGTATATCTGGCACCTCTGGGTTCAACAGAACAGGATTGCGGAAAAGAAAATTTAAGAAAACCGGGGGCTGCCGCACTTCTATGGATACATTTTAATTAAAAAAATACTCTTGGCAGCGAATAAAAAAGAATAGATCAGAATTGAATTCTCTGGCGTTTGTGAAGTGCACAAGTATTAGTACAGAACTTTGGGTAAATTCAAAAGTTTTCTTGCATTAATACTTAAAATTTACCAAAAGTTCTGCGCTAATCCTTGTGCATTTCACAAACGTCAGAGAAGTCTATAGACAGAAGGATAAACAGGGATGTTCAGGATATTTTACAAACACATTGATGGGGATGCATACGATTAGAAAATAAAAGAATGGGATAAGGATAAGACATGTTTATCGAGCATTTATCTAAAAATATCACATCACCTTCCGTTTGATAATAAGCTCTGCTTCTTCTTTTTTTTTCTTCTTTTTTTTCTTCTTCTTCTAGGCTTTTTACGCTTCTTTAGCGAGTTTTTTGCCGGCTCTCAACTTTGTGTTCTAGATACACTTTTATAGTTATTAATTTAGAGTTTTCTATGCCAACCAATGCATGAATGTGCATATTGTGTGGCAAGCTCAATGATACCATCTCTTGTTCCCAAGCTAATCGAAATGCCCCTCAAAACTTAGGAAAATACACGAACCCCTCATTAAAAGATTAAACTCTGAGTTGGTTGGAAATGTTATCTAATAACAACACTAATGTGGTAATTTATTAGCTAGAAAAAGATCTGAAGAGCTTATATAGGTTGGATTAGTGGGAAATTACTAGCCTTTTCTCTGTCTAATCGTTTATTCATCTTTCCTCCACAAACTCGTGTAATTTTGATTGGTCATATTCGATGTTCTTCATCCGTGGTCATCAATGGATGTTGCTACGCTGGAAATAGGTCAACTCGCTCGGTACTAATTGATTGCGTCTCGTACATTCTCGGCTCGACCTAGGTGGCCTTGTCACGGTCAGCTGATGTTCGCCAACGAAGGGAGACGCCGTTGACACCGAAAAGGCTACTTCAGTAGCTGCACAGGGATTGCTATACTCTCTGGTTGCGAACCGCCATCGCAACGCGCAAACCCAAGCTTCAAAACCGCCATTGTAGTGATCACAGCTCCAGTCACCAGGCGCCATCTTCCAGACCAGTTTAAGACACCGAT